ACCTCCGTCTTCTCATTTCTGATGCTGGCTCTTTGAATATCCTCAGGTTAGAAATGCTGATTACAAACGCAAGTGTGAGCATTTAAAGTTTTCCCTGTAATGCTATCCATCTGTCACCTCCTCATCAAGAGGAAAAAGATAAAAACTAACTACTCTATTGTACCTGCTGGTTAGTGGACACAACGACACACAACAGAACTCATGTTTTATACCAGTAGATCACAGATGCTTTAAATTTTGTGACTTTTTCACGGACTAGTACTAGCAGCTAACGCTAAAAACWTAGGCAGTAGGGAGTGGAAGGGAGGAGCGTGGCATATGGGCTATTGGACATGCCTGGAACACCTCACSAAGGAGGAAAACAGGTGCATCCTTATCAGATTCCCAAACCACCTCAAATGACAGTTTTTGATGTGGAGGTGTGGCTCTACTCTGAGCCCCGTCYGGGTAACTGAACTGCTCACCCTGTCTCCAAGGTAGAGCTCAGCTACCCTGCAGAGAAAACTATCAGAGATCTCACTCCTTCAGTCACCACCCAGAGTTCAGGTGAGAGAAGGASCAGAGATCARASRRRAMAMAGAGCTTTGCCTTGCAGCTCCTSCTTCACCACAGTGGACAGACACAGGGTATCCAGTAAACCACTCGTGATGTTCTTCAGAGATTTGACTGCCAGCTGTGCAAACCAGACTCCTGCACTGTTTGCACAGAGACCGAATGGCCAGTAGCAGCACACCCACAATTTCATACTTGCAGAATTCCCTCAACAGGTTTTCCCCCTACTTCTTTAAARCTAGTTTAGTTATTTAGTGGTGAAAAGATATGCCTAAACAATCAAAAGCCTTGCTTTGTAATCAAAAGCTTTTATTTACTAAAATATTTCAATTTTTTGTGAAAAGTATTGTGAATTATAAGAAGTTAGTAATTAAACATGTAACACTGTGTTTTACAATTATACTGAAGAAAAAGTAGTGATTTTAATGAAGTAAACTTATATTAACAAAGAGACATTGTCATCCAGCCTGAAGACAAAGTTAAATAGTTTCTAATGATGTTTGACGTAACAAATCTGCTCACTGGAAGTGAACGATCAAAATAAGTCTAATAAAAATGCACAATTATAAATCTGTAAAGGTGAGTGAAGTAAATAAAAAGATGACTAAATCATGCATCTTCAAAATACTACTTGCCTAATCAGATAAATTTGTTGTGTTATAAAAATGATGTGTAACTGTGTAACACCTCAGACACTGGACCTGATGACTGACTCTGTAATCCTTGTCATTGTTCAGAGAATAAAAGCTTACATCAGTCATCTGAGGTGTGTTTTTCTCAGACTAATGTTCTCCCTTTCATTAAACACATTTTTCATCTCCTTTGACTCCATGAAAAACATGCTCATAAATCAAAAAGGTCCTTGAAGTGTTTTTTTTTCCCAGCTCTCAACATTACCTCCACTATCCACAGTGTTGGTAACGCATCTCTTCCCCCACTTTATGTATTATGTCAAATTTCTTAAGATTTATTGTAATTTTGACTTTAATTTTTGTCTATGTGTGTCACAGGCACTTTAATGTCCATGTTGGCGGGCGGGCACAGTGTAACTTGGAGGGGCMTGATGTGAACCCATGTGGTCTTCTGTCACTGTTTTTCTGGGACCTGTTTGTTCTGACTGTTTTGTAATTTTGTTAGAGATGAAGATTAAATCTAAAGTTCTGCAGTGCAGATAAGAGAGGTTATCTGTCTGGCTCAGAGTTTTACCAGTCATCTTGACTAAGCTGCTGGAAGACCAGAGACAGACTCTGCTCAGGGTTTGGCAGTGGATCAAGCTCCTCTTTAGGCTGAAGTTTCACAGTGTGGGGGGCTGGTCTGTTTATGTTTGTTGTCCTTCTGAAGCCCACCACTGCTCTTTGAGCAGGTCTTAACATTRTTGTTGAATGATTAGCTAAAATAGCACAAATTATGAAGAAWTAGTTTGACAAAACCATACGAAACAAAACAGTATTGAGTTCACACAATTACTGCACATGTTTAGGGAATTAAATGGTTGGTTTTATTTACGTTATCAGTCCCATAGAATGGCTTCAGACTGTCCTGACAGTGCCCCTAGTGGGTAACCAGTGCCATATATGTTGAAATACAACAATCTGCTACCACTGGAGTCGGGTCTACTTTATTGTAGCCGATGTCATTTTCTCTAAAATTAACCTTAATGGTTTTATGTCTCATATTAACCAGATTGTATGAAAACCTTAATGGTTTTTTGTCTCATATTAACCAGATTGTATAAAAT